AACTCAGAATTACACTTAATCTTATGAGTATAATCATATTTACTTAACCTTAGTAAATCATGACGAATATCTTTGTTACTCTTGTGGTGGATTTGATCAACACACAACTTTGTGTACTCGATCTCCTAGTCCTACACTTGACACTTTGTCAAAGAATTTGTCTAAATTTCCAAATATGAAATTTCTCATTCATCATGCAATCAAGTTGTATGATTCCAAGTTTCTATCCAATAAAACTTGGGCGATGAGAAACTTTCCCTATTTGGTAAATTCTTGACCTTTCCACAAATAATACAATTAAGAATCAAATCCATTATTGCTAATAATAGAAACTTACAAACATCAATTTTTTCATACACGCCATTGCAAGGATAAATAAATAATATAAAATCAAAATTTATTTTATTGCGGAAAAATTTGTCCTTACAATGCAATTTAATTGAAAAACTATGTTAATACATATTTCATAGCAATCTATTCTAACTCCAAGTAGTAGCTCAAAATTCTAATCTTCAAGCAATGCGATCGAAATCCATTTCTTCACGATTAGATTCAGCTCACTTCTTCCCTTAAGCTTCCTCTCTTTTCTTCGATCCTATAAAACATCAAAATGTAATCTTATTACATCATGTATTAAGAATCTAGAATAGGAACTTAAAAGAGTTAGTTAATGGATTTTACCTGAAGTAGAGCCATGCATCTTGACTCTCCCATCTCTTAGATTTCTCAGGTAGTTAGGGCAGCTTCGTCTCCAATGTCCCTTCTCCTGGCAATAAAATCAAATGGACTCCTTTGGCACAGCACATCGGACAATCATAGACATAGTTCTTTCTAGACTTCCGATGTTGCCAGTGCCCATTACAGTTTGGGAGTTTGACTCACCAGACAAATTTGCCTGACCAGCACGCCAAATCATTGCTGATTCAACAGCTATAAGCAAATAGGTGAGATCAATGAGGGTCACGTTGTGATGCATCATATAGTACTCTCTAACGAACTCACTACATGATTCAGGAAGTGACTAAAGGACCCAGTCAACAGCCAGCTCCTCACAGACAACCGATCCCAACATTCTTAACTTATCAATGTGTGACTTCATCTCTAGGACGTGTGCACACTGACTTTCCTTCTTCATATTTACTTGCCAAAAGGACTTGAGTGAGTTTGAACTTTTCAATCTTTTGAACTTGTGGGTTAGGGAGAATAATAGGAGGAGGTGGAGGAAGTGAAGCATGATCTCTTGTTCTCCGATCGAATCGTGGAATATCATCTTCATGTGAAAAGCTTGTTCCACGGGATTTGGGAAGACCATAGTTGTCATACTTTGACATCTACAAAACGGGAGAAAAATTCAAGTTAGTTGATTGATTGAATCCTTAATAAATCACCCAAATGAGATATTAAGGCTAGGACCCAACACAATACTCTACAATTTGGGAGAGGGATGCCGTAACCCAAATTGCAGAACATTTGAAGGTAAGTGAATGACGATTCACTAATTTCCACCTTGAAAAATGAAAAAGAAATTTAAGTTTTAAATCTATTGAAAATTCCTAGATCTTTTGAGATTCATTGAACTTTTCAATGGCATGTTTAAATCTCGATATGCCCCTCGATTTGTGACTGGGATGCCGAGGATCACAAAACAGGGTGTGAATAACCATGCAAACTTACATGGTGCCCCCAATGTTACAGTCACCTATTCGATGTGCCGGTAAACCACACACGCTCCATCGAACTATGACAAACATTGAGTCACCCTTTGCCACCTTTGCTTAGAACCAATTAGTGTGCCGGTTAACCACACACGCTCCACTAACTTCTTAGCAAGGGTGCAAAGTGTAATTTCATGGGATTGCATCAATTTCACTTTTGCCTAAAGTAACTAGGATTGGGAATTGCAAAAGCGTTTAGTTACTTTACATAGATTCATTATACTTATTAATGAAGAGAGGATTGCCCTATCTTACCCTTTCGGCTAACGACCCTCCACCAATCAAGGGAGCGGTGGGTAAGAGTGGATACCCATTAAACGGCCATTTTATAGGCCATAACCTTATACCCCCTTATAGATCGGCTTCGTGAATGAGGCCTACTAACGTAAGACTAGCATTTACTTATACATATATATATAATGTTAGACTTTTAATGCTATATATAGTATAGGGTGTGTTTTACACTTTTAAAATACTAGGTGGTTTAATTTTATAAATTACACTTTTAATTTAATTAAATATAAACCATATCATTATGGATTTATTAACTCTCTTTTAATTATACACTTAACTAATTTAATAAAACCATAAGGGTGTAATATGAACTTTTCAAAATTAGGGTTTTAGAATTTAGACTTTTTCAAAATTAAACCTTTTAATCAAACAATTTAAATTCCAAAACTTGAGGGCAAGTTTTGAAACTTTTCAAAACAATTAGGTTTTAATTTCACTTTAAAATTTTCGAAATTTAATACTATTTAAATTAAAATTTTAAATATTAAAACTCTTGATTTAATAATTATCTTGAATTAAACTATTAATTTAAATTATTAAATCATAAGGGATTATCTAAATCATGAAGGATAATTACCAATTAAACAATTAATTTATCCTAATCCTTTTAATCCCTCTAAAATTCGAAAATCATGGGATAGGATAATTCAAAATCTTTAATTACCATATATAACCATTAAAGGATAATTACAAGATATAGGATAATCCAAATCCCTAAAATTTAGGATCTTATCTTGGGGAGGAGGCCAATTTCGAAAATCAAGGGATTAAGACAAACCCTAGATTTCGAAATTTAAAGGTTTAAGGAAAGGGTTTGAAAATCTTATTCAAACTTTTGCAAATTAGGGTTTGCAAACCCTAATCTCGAAAATCCTAGCCTCCTAGGGTTATTGGCAATAAACCCTAATATGTCAAGTTCATACAATTGAATAATACTAATTGAAAACAAGTTAACCAAAGGCTCTGATACCACTGATGGGTTTTGTACAAACAATCCTATGTGTTCATGCAACCCTAGAATTGGATCTATGTTTTCACTATTAGATATATATAACATTATGAACACTTGAAGAACCCTAAAAGGCTTCTAGGAATTTCGAAATCCACAAGGAAAGATGAAATACATACCTATTGTTGTTATATTGTAATAAAAACTTAAATCTTGAATCTTCTTGTCTTTGAAAGCAAGTACTACAAGTGTAGTACCTCTAATGGCTCACAAACACCAAGAGCAAATGGAGAGGTAATAGAGAGAGAGAAGAAGTATAGAATTTCGTCCCTAGGACCCCTTGGGAAGGCATGGACGAATTCATGAGTCTTAGGGGTCTTTATATAGGTGTAGAGATTAGGGTTTCAGTCCTTATCCTTATCTAGTTGCTTGCCCACCAAGCAATCATAAGATAAGCCTTGAAATCCCTTATCCTTTATCCTTTGGACGATTTCAAGGATCCTTATCTCCTTGAATTCGTTCAACCCATATTTAGGATAATCATTACCCTATTTTGTAACTATCACATAATAACAATTCAGCCCCTCTAGTTTAATTAATTACACTTGATCACAAAATTAATTCCTAATTAATTATTGACCAATATTAATTAAACAAATATGATTTCTCCTTTAATATATTATTCTTATAACATATTAATAAATCATAATAACCTCTTTCTCTATTATTTCTCCAGTCAAGTTGCTTTGGTGAAGGCAACCCAAAAGGACCATGCACAATCGGGTCAAGTACTTACCAAATATGGTTACAGGCTTAGACACTAATCCAACAGTAAGTTGGTAAGTCCCTAATGAAAGGGAATTTTATAACTATTGTAAAGTCAGATTTGAAAGTCCCAATTGTAGAGCATTTTGTATAACCATATGTTGCAAATGTTTATGTTATTGAAACATGCATGGCTTGTTTTCCTTTTATTATATATAATTAAATTCGTTGCGCTGCTTGGCATAATAATGGGAATAAAGTAGAAAGTGGTCCATGTGAAAGTACACTATGTATGGGGACCATTTTCAGTTAATAGTTGGTGGATGTTTTTATAACGGAAAAATGAGACCTTTCAACCCATTATAGAACCATATCCGGGACCATATAACACATTCACATGCATGCACATTATTCCAATTTTTTCCATGTAGACATATACAAAGCCATATGTCATGATTTTACTTAAAAAGGCAACATACTTTCATAAGTGACCAAAATATCCTTTCATGTCATTAATTTACTTAAAAGGAAACATACATTCATAAGTGACCAAAATACCCTTTTATGTCATGAGTTTACTTAAAAAGGCAACATACATTCATAAGTGACCAAAATACTCTTTTATGTCATGAGTTTACTTAAAAAGGCAACATACATTCATAAGTGACAAAAATACCCTTTTATGTCACGAGTTTACTTAAAAATGCAATATACATTCATAAGTGACCAAAATACCCTTTTATGTCATGAGTTTACTTACAAAATGCAATATACATTCATAAGTGACCAAAATACCCTTTTATGTCATGAGTTTACTTACAAAATCCAACATACATTCATAAGTGATCAAAATACCCTTTATGTCATGACTTTACTTTCAAAATGCAATGTGCTTTAAAACTTCACTCTAAACTTTACCAGTTTACCCTTTTATGTCCTTAATTTACTAATAACAGCAACATGGAATAAAAATGACCAATATAACCTTTTTACATCACATTTACATAACAAAGACAATTACCTTAAATTCAAACAACAATCCATATACACACACATTAAACTCAGATGAAAATTATCATCATCCTAATACACATACATTAAATCCAAATTACACAAAGACAAATTCAACACTAATAAATTAGAAGAGCTTTTCCCTTAGAATTTCCTAGATCATCAACACCACCAATTTTCTTGCCTAATTTCAGCTTCAAGATTCTCTTTGATTTTCTTCTCCTTATCCTCTTCAAAATCTCTGAAATTGGTCTAACTCTACCCTGCTAAACCTGGACAATAGGAACAACCTCCTGAATATGAACATTAGCAACAACTTGGACATTAGGAATAACCTCATCAACTTGAACATTAGCACCAACAACCTCCTCACCCACAACACCCTCCTCACCTTCATAACTTCTAGGTGGAGTAACTTTCATATACTGACTAAAATCCCATGCACTACTGGATTCAACATCATTAGGAGTAGCTTGCATATCATTTTGAGTAGTATCCATCTTAATATGAGTCATTTCAACCTCTTCATGTTGTTGAGGTTCACCTCTACTACCCTACATGGCATGATATAATAATGTTAGTGGCAAATCGTATGTAAATAAATTTAAATTTGAAATAGTTTTACCTATCCTGCATTTTGCTTCACACAAAATTTTTGTTTCTTCTGTTTCTTCACATTAAACTTTTGGGGTCTTCTCTCTGGACAAATGGTCTTGTTGTGACCTATCTCCTTGCATATACCACATCTAATTTTCTTTCCAGCCTTAGAAACCCTGTGTTTTCCTTTATTCTCTATAGTGGATTTCTTCATGTCAGTAGTTGGCCTACCAGGCATCCTTCTACTAATAGGAAGCAATGGTGGAGTATAATTTATCTCTGGCTACATGTCACTTCCATTCATGGGGGCAATTATGTAACTGTATGCCTTCCTAAATGTGGCGGTGCTATATATGTTGTCTGCATAGGCTTCTACATCCCTATTAAGATAGGATATGCTAGCTATAGAATGAGCACATCCATATCCATTCAATTGCCACAACCTACATGAACATGTTTCCTTTCTAAGTCCACCTCATATGCATTTGTTGCTCCCCTAACCTCAAACTGGTTTAATCCACTAGGTAGTACCTAATAATACCTCTGAATTTTTTTAAGCAAATTCACCTTATCTCTTATCTCTGAACAAATATGATTTCCCCATTGTTGTCCCTTTAATGTCATGTTGTACAGTATGTCCATCATGTAGAATCTTAACTCCTCTAACATGGTGATTATGGGTTTCTTCCTGGTATCTACTATTACAGCATTAAAACTTTCAGAGAAGCCATTTTCAACTGCATCACAACGCTTGTCAGGTTGAAAGAAAGCTCTTGACCAGGTATTTGGATCTTTCTCCATGAGATATTGATGGGCATTTGGGTTCAATATCTCAATTTCCTTCATCACAACTTTAAAAGCATGCTCAGTTGTAGCTTTAGATGCTCTCCAAAATTAGGTATGATATATGGCACCAGTGAATCTCTTCTGCAAATTTTGGCAAATATGTCTAGCACACTGCATGTGCTCTACATATGGAAGCAACTCTTTAACATCCTCTATCAAACCCTGTATTAATAAGAAGATTTAAATCAAATTGTCTAAAATAAATATACATGAATTACTATGTAAAATACTAACCTTTTGTTGGCCTGACATTAAACTGAATCCATTTCCTAAATTCAAGTTTAGATCATCAATGAGAAGCTCCAAAAAAACACTTCCAATTCTGCTTGTTCTCCACACTAACCACTACCCAAGCAATAGGATATATCTTATCATTTGCATCCCTCCCAATTGCACAAAGAAATTCCCCCTTAGAAACACCTTTCAAAAAACATCCATCAAGACCTATTATCCTTCTACACCCTTCCATCCAACCTTGTTAAACTCCTTGAAAACAAACATAGAACTTGCTAAAATATTTCTTTCCATCTGGACCATCCTCCACATCTAGTTTTACAGTTTACCCAGGATCTGTCCTCAAAATCTCATGACCATATGACCATAGCTTACCATAATGTTTAACAAGACTACCTTCAATAAGATTCAGTGCATACTTCTTTGCTCTCATACATTGGCCTATACTAACCTGGATACCAAACTTGGTCATTACCTTTACCCTAAGCTTCCTTACACTCAATTTCTGACTTTGGACAATCTCTTTGGTATAGTGACTCCCAATCCATGCATATGTCACCAGTGATCCAAACTTGAAGTTCCTAGCACAATTATGATCAGCTTTTAGTGACTTGATTTGGAAACTCTCTTCGTCACTCATCCAAGAAGCCCATAATCTAAATGTACAAGCACCCTTACTACACCTCACCAAAAGTCTTTTCCTATCATTTTTTTCAAAACACAATTGATATCCATTAGCCACAACATAGTTGCACAACATTGATTTTACATGCCCCTGGACCCTTAAATCTCATTCCTAGAATTGGTTTTTTGTTTTTTCCAGTGTAATAGCTCATTAAATATGGAATGAATTTGGATGTTAGGTTCAAATTCTCTCCCATCATCATCATCTACAATGTTGTTATCCTCCTCCTCATCAACACATAACTTACTAAAGAAAGGATCATTTGATGTCCTATTCATATGCACTACATCCTCATTAAATTCAAACTCAACATTCCTAAGTTCACTATGTTATCTTCATTTTCACCATCAATACAAGACTCACATCCATCATCATCATTATCTTCATCATCAAACCACCCATCAACACCAACCCCAATATGATCCACATAAACATAAATTATGCCATCTGTTCCATAAGCATAAAAAATAAAAGCATCATATTCCACATCATATGAAATGGGATTAAGCCCTTCCATCAGGGAAATGCCTGGTTTACAGTAGTATAACTTTTAACAATCTTCATGCATGAAACGTTCGAAGAAGGTCACACACTCAGAATAAGTCATAGAATAAAAGTCGACATCATTGAACATGGTTTTCACACCACCGATGTAAAAGAAAGGATTACGAGTAAACACCCATTGGTAGTTGAGTTCCACCATCGCAAACAGTCCATTAGGTTCCGATTGTGTCATTGCTACTACTTCTTTGGTACTTCAGCTCGATCACAAAAATGCTTCACAAACCCTAGCTCAGTTTCGTTTACAGCTGAAGAATGAAGACGAATGAAGTTCGATGGCTGAAGACGATAGGTTTTAAGCATCGTAGATCACAAAAATGTTTCACAAACCCTAGCTCAGTTTCGTTTATAGCTGAAGAATGAAGACGAGTGAAGTTCGACGGCTGAAGACGATAGATTTTAAGCATCGTATATCATTTATTGACGTGACATATCTCACGTGTCATTGGATGAGCCAAAAAATAAATATTAATTGACACACATAAAATCTCAACCGAAAACCGTTTAAAAGCGGGGAAAATGACTAAATTGACAGGTCATATACGATTTTAGTGGTCTAATGTACCAAAAAAAACTTTAGTGACCAAATTAGACATATGACAAAACTTTCATGTGCTACAGTATCATTTTCCCATTAAAATAATAATAATAATAATAATGAAATTATTGTGTTAGAACGGGATTCGCGATGATTTCCAGAATTCGATGATTTCCCTGTCTAAACGCATTTACAGTATTGAGTAAATTACACGAATCGTCCCTCGTGCATGTACCAAAAGACACGTTCAGTCCTTATTTTCAAAAATTAACTCGGATCGTCCTTCGTTTGGTTAAAAGTTACACACGTCATCCCTCCCCACATAAAAAGACCGTTTTGCCCTTATTTATTTGTTTTTTTGATTTATTTATTAATTAGTAATTAACAATCCAATAAAAAATTGTTTTATTAAATATTTATCTCCTTTTTAATTAAATTTAATCTAATTACCCACAAACTATAACCCCCAATGTTGAAATCGTTGCTTCTGTGTCTCCTTCACTTCTCTCCGCTGACCACCACCACTCCACTTCCCCTTCTTGCGTCTCCTTCTTATTTTCAGTTAGATCAGCACATCCAAGACCATCTAATCGCACCAACTCTGTGTCGCTCTTCCTCTAATTGCATAAAAAGAACTCGAGGTTCAATCCCTTTCCTTATGATCGAGTTGTAGGTTTCACATACTTTCTCTCACTATTCTCTCTTCTCACAATCGAGGTTCAATCCCTTTCCTTTGGATAGGTGATGAAGAAGGTGAGTTAATGGTGACTGGGATGGTGTTTATGTGGGTATATGGGTGGCTGATGGTGTTGTGAGGTGAAGAAGACGATGAGGAACAGGTGGTTGATATGGTGGAATGGTGACGGCGTATGGTTAAAGATGATGAAGGTGGTTTAATGGTGATGGATGGAGAAGGGTCCATCTGTTTCCGGTGAGCCACCTCTTCCAAGCCTCCTCTCAGTCGCCGACATCAGTAACCTCACCTGAGTTGCAAAGAGGGTTGCAGATCTTCACTCCGGAATCAACCATGAAATTAGGTTCTAGCATCGATATAGGGAAAGAGGGTGGGGTGTTGTAGGTTTCTTTCCCGAATCTGTAACAAAATAGACGATAAAGGGTTGGTCCGGTAGTGATGGTCCGATAACGGAGGTCCAATGATGGTGGTATGGTAGTGGTGGAGATGATGATAGTTATGGGAGCAGATTTAGAGAAAAAGAGGGATAAAGGAACAATATGTTGCAATTTTAGGGGAGAGTGGGTTCGTAAGGTGGGGTGGGTGTTTTTTATTTTCTTTTTCTATTTTAGAAATAACTTTAAGAAACATAAATAAATCAAAAAAAGAATAAAAAATGGTAGAATAGTCTTTTCATGTTCCGTAAGGGATGAACCGTGTAAATTTAAACTAACAACGGATGAGGCGTGTACCTTTTAACCAAACGATGGACGATCCGAGTTAATTTACGAAAATAGGGACTGAACGTATCTTTTAGCACCTGGACGATTCCTGTAATTTACTCTACAATATTCGATGATTTCCCTATCTTCGTTGGAAGTTCAGAAACTTGATGTCGTAGGCAAAGACGACGCAGAAGAGGACGACCCAACCAACATGAGCCAAAGCAACGTACCCAAGAAAATCGTACTCAAACCCTAGAAATTCTTTAATAAATTCTTTTACTGTGACAGAATTGTGGTCTAGAACAACTATAAGGCTTTCGTTTTGACCAAGCTGAGATGTGATCAGGCCGTATAAAGTCCATGCCACCGGTGAACCCTGTTGGAATCATAAGTCCTCATTTCCCTCCACCCATGTCTTCCACCCACAATAAAGGAGGGGACACCAACAAGTTGGTTGGGTCTCATACTTATTAATATAGGATTGAAATGATTAAGTCCATCCTATATATTCAGTGAATTACCAAGAGGGTAATACACAACAAAACACAGCAACATACACAGACATATATATGTAATTGGTTTTGAGTTATATTTCCAATTTTAATCAAAGAGTTAGTTTGATATATTCTTCTGTGTTTATACAATTGATATACTACAATTGTTTATACAATTGCTATACCATACAATTGCTATACTAGAATTGGTATCAGAGCCTTGAAATCAGTCAAGGGGAACTGAGAAATCAAGGAAGCTTATCTGTTTAAAATGTCCGATGTTGAAGATGATCGAAGTGGGGGTGTTGCTGCTCCTCCGACGAGAATCAAGGAAGTCGGAACCACATCGGTGGCCTGCCCAATGTTAACCCAGACAAATTACACTGTTTGGGCTCTACGCATGAAGGTCGTCCTGCGTATACACAAGGTTTGGTCAGAAATCGAACCTGGAACAACTAAAGTTGAAGAAAAAGACTGCTTAGCAGTAGGCTTACTATATCAAGCAATTCCCGAAGCACTTGTGATGCAAATTGGGGATGTCAGCTCCGCAAAGGCTCTCTGGGAAGCAATCAAGGCCCGTCACGTTGGCGCTGATCGGGTGAAAGAAGCCCGGCTTCAAACCCTGAACACTGATTTCGATCGGTTGAGGATGAATGAAACGGAGACCATCGACTCTTTCACCGGAAAGCTCTCCGGTTTAGCTTCGAAATCTGCATCGCTTGGTGAAACGATAGACGAATCGAAGCTTGTGAAGAAGCTTCTGAAGGTCGTTCCCAGACGATTCATCCATTTGGTAGCATCACTCGAGCAGGTGCTCGATCTGAAATCTGTGGGCTTCGAGGACGTAGTCGGACGTCTGAAAGCTTACGAAGAGAGAATAAGAGAGGCAGATGATAGCGGAGATGGTGGCGCGAAGGTGTTGTTTGCCTCGAGATCGACTGGCGGCTGGAGCGGTGGTGGAGCGTCTGGTTCGTCCGGAGGATCATCGGGAGGGACGAAGGAAAAAGGGGGATCAAAAGCTTATAATCGGGGGGGCAAAACCGGGTCGGGTGGATCCGGTGGAGTCGGGTCTTCGAATGGATCCGGGTCAAAATCAACCCGACCCAATTCGGCCCAAAACAATAATAAGCCCAATAACCGGCCCAATTCTAATTCGGACTCGAACCGTAACCCGAAAAAAGATCTGTCAAAAATTATTTGTTACAGATGCGATAAATCGGGCCATTACGCATCCAAATGTCCGGACCGAACCCAAAAATTCCAAGAAAGTAATTTTACTGAACACGACGATGCCGATGAAACAGTATTTCTACACGAGTCCGTATTTTTGAACGAAGAGAAGGTGATACCGTCTCGATACAACTCACAAGAAAACGATGTGTGGTATTTGGACAACGGGGCAAGTAATCACATGACGGGAAATCGTTCATTTTTCTCCGAACTCGACGAAGGAATAACCGGAAAGGTCAAATTCGGTGATAATTCGTGTGTCGAAATAAAAGGGAAAGGCTCAATTGTTTTCCAAGGAAAATCGGGGCAACAACGATTGATAACGGAGATTTATTTCATTCCGGATTTGAAAAATAATATTTTCAGTCTCGGACAAGCAACCGAAGCCGGGTGCGATATTCGGATGAAAAACAACTATTTGACAATGCATGATGCCGACAACTGCTTATTAATGAAGGTACAAAGAACTCCAAACCGCCTTTATAAAATACAGTTGCCCATTGGAGTACCTATTTGCCTTCATTCAAGACTAAGTGAAGACACGTGGCGTTGGCATGCAAGACTTGGACACATCAATTTCGAGTCAATGAAAAAGATGTCCAAGAAAGGTCTAGTCAAAGGGTTACCCTATTTTGACAGTGAGAATCAATTGTGTGAATCTTGCTTGGTGGGCAAGCAAACAAGAAAGTCATTTCCATTAATGACGACGTACAAAGCAACACGACCACTGGAGCTAGTTCACGGTGATTTATGTGGTCCGATAACACCGTCAACGAAGGGTCAAAATCGATACATTTTCACACTAATTGACGATTTTTACGTTATATGTGGATTTTTCTCTTAAAAGAGAAAAATGAGGCGTTTTTACACTTCAAAAAATTTAAAGCTTTGGCGGAGAATGAGCTCGGAAAGTCTTTAAAGGTGTTTCTAAGTGATCGAGGAGGTGAGTTTACTTCGCTCGAGTTTAATTCCTTTTGTGATATAAATGGAATCAAACGCCATCTTACCGCCCCATATTCACCACAACAAAACGGTATTGTGGAACGAAGAAACAGAACACTTATGGACATGACACGAAGTATCATGAAGGCGATGCATGTTCCAAACTACCTATGGGGAGAAGCGGTAAAACATTCCACAAACCTGATCAACCGTGTTTACACAAGAGTACTTGGTGATACAACTCCGTACGAGAAGTTGTATAAAAGAAAACCTAATTTGGAGAACGTACGCATCTTTGGGTGTTTAGCGTATGCAAAAGTTGAACCGGTAAACGTGAAAAAATTGGATGCAAGATCAAGACCATTGGTTCATCTTGGTTCTGAACCGGGTACAAAAGCCTATCGGTTATTTAACCCGGTTACACAAAAAATAATCGTAAGTCGAGACGTTATTTTTAATGAAACCAAAGGATGGAATTGGGTTAACGAAGCTACACCTGACAATGAAGAACCAGGATCATTCATAGTACCATGGGATTTACCGGAAGATGAGGCAAACAACAACCAAGGAAACGATGTAAACAACGAACCAAACGAATCGGATCACGAGATTGAAGACGGAGTGGAGGTACAAGAAAATGAGCAACCAAGTCTGATCAACAACAACGTGAACAATGTTCAAAACCAAAGGCCCACAAGACAAAAGTTGCTTCCAATTCGATTACGAGATTATGTACTTTATGTTGATGAAATTGAAGAACTTCTCCTAGCAACCAATGACGAGCCGGTATCGGTTGAAGAGGCGAAGAAAGAACCAGAGTGGGTCAAAGCCATGAATACAGAAATCAATTCGATCAACAAGAACAATACTTGGTCTCTCATAAACAAACCTATGGGGGTGAAGCCCATTGGACTCAAATGGGTGTTCAAGCTGAAGAAAAATGCAGATGGCACCATAAACAAACACAAGGCGAGGTTGGTTGCTAAAGGGTACGTGCAACAACCTGGTATTGATTTCCAAGAGGTATTTGCTCCGGTAGCTCGAATTGAAACAATCCGGTTTCTTATAGCCCTAGCCGCTACCAATGGATGGGAGCTTCACCACTTGGATGTCAAGACGGCTTTCTTACATGGAGAGTTGAGAGAAACCGTCTATGTGTATCAACCGGAAGGCTACATAAGGAAAGGCGACGAGCACAAGGTGTACCGTCTTTCAAAAGCACTATATGGTCTTAGACAAGCACCGAGAGCATGGAATACAAAACTTGATGGGATTTTGAAAGGAATGAAATTTCACAAGTGCATGAAAGAACCATCGGTGTACCGGAAGAACGAAGGATCCAACTTGCTAATTTTAGCAATCTATGTTGATGATTTGTTTGTCACAGGTATAAATTTAAGCATGATCAAAAGGTTCAAATTTGAAATGTCCAAGAACTTCGAGATGTCTGATCTTGGAAGATTAACTTACTACCTGGGCATTGAAGTCAAACAGGATGAATCGGGGATTACAATAAACCAAGAAGCGTATGCACAACGCATTCTGAAGGAAGCCGGTTTACATGATTGCAATCCTACCCACATGCCCATGGATCCAGGAACCAAAATGTCGAAGGCCGAAGATGAACCCGAAATCGACCCGACACAATACCGAAAGTTGGTAGGATGCCTTAGATATCTCTTGCAGACAAGACCCGATATGGCATATGCGGTTGGAGTTGTTAGTCGATACATGCAAGATCCAAGAGAATCACATGGTGTTGCAATCAAACACATCCTAAGGTATTTAAGAGGAACAACGGGATACGGAATCAAGTACGAGAGGATGGGACAAAACCGGATCATTGGTTACAGCGATAGTAGTCACAATGTCGACCCGGACGACGGAAGAAGCACAACCGGTCACATTTTCTACTACGGGTCCTCTCCGATAACATAGTGTTCTCAAAAGCAAGATACTGTTGCTTTATCATCTTGCGAGGCGGAGTTCATGGCTGCAACTGTGGCTGCATGTCAAGAAATATGGCTTCAAGATTTGCTAGGCGAAATCATGAACAAAGCACAAGAGAAGGTGGTCCTAAGAGTTGATAACAAGTCAGCTATCGAACTCACGAAGAATCCTGTTTTTCAGGGAAGAAGCAAACACATTCACACGAGGTTTCACTTCATTCGTAAGTGTGTTGAAAAGGAACAAGTGGAGGTGAAGTACATTCCAGGTGAAGAACAAAAGGCAGACATTCTCACAAAACCATTGGCTCGAACCAAGTTCAAGACAATGCAGGACTTGATCGGGATTGAAGACATCTTTAGAAGGACTTAAAGATTGGCGGTGATCGGGAATCTCTAGAAGGACTTAGAGATTCGGGGGTGATTGTTGGAATCATAAGTCCTCATTTCCCTCCACCCATGTCTTCCACCCACAATAAAGGAGGGGACACCAACAAGTTGGTTGGGTCTCATACTTATTAATATAGGATTGAAATGATTAAGTCCATCCTATATATTCAGTGAATTACCAAGAGGGTAATACACAACAAAACACAGCAACATACACAGACATATATATGTAATTGGTTTTGAGTTATATTTCCAATTTTAATCAAAGAGTTAGTTTGATATATTCTTCTGTGTTTATACAATTGATATACTACAATTGTTTATACAATTGCTATACCATACAATTGCTATACTAGAAACCCCAGTAATACCACCTCCACCAGATCGGTATTTGCTGCAATGTTCAGGTTATTTTTAACTTGTTAGATTCTATTAACGCAATTCATTCTAACTGATAATCACTCTAGATTAGTTGTCGTACCATTCTGGGGATCATGAAACCAGAAAACAAGTTCCATAACCTAAGGAAGAACGACATAGTAATGGCTGCAATCTGATAATTCGGAGTGAGGGCTACAAGCATCATCCCGTATAATGTGAAATAGACAAAGCACATGAATATAAAGAAGTAGAACCATAGAAACTTGTCTGCCGACCACTGGAACCCAATCATGGAGTAAAGCAGAAGAGTGTATATGAGTGTCTGTATTCCTACATAAACCACCTCAATGGCAACCTTCAGCCAAAATAATGATATAGTTTTAGTTTTCCATAAACACTTATAAATATAAACATAAATAGTTAAACAATTTTCTTGTACCTAGGCAAATGTGTAAGGAATTGTTGAATACATCCCTGATGCTTTCTCACGATACAAAACTGTTCTTTCTATAGACACCACAGACTGTACAACTGCAGTGTTGGTCCCACCAAGAAACACTACAGCAGCATACATAGCTCCCATCAGATTCATTACATCTTGTTGTTGGTTCCTGTTGAAGTCATGACCCATAATCTTTCAGAATTGCACACCATAAATGAAAACTATATGTTCGATTTCTAATTTCTTACATTTTTTGGCCTTTGTCCCAGAAAATCACTCCAAAGAGTATGCCAATCAATGTCGTCATGAAGAACCGGACAGCATTATACTGTGGATGCCTCCAGTAAGACCAGTGTTGTTTCTAATATTGCAATTGTAAAGACACAGACAAATATATATATCAAAATAACTCTTTGATTGATTGGAAATATAACTCAAAAACCAATTACATATATATGTGTATATGTCTATGTATGTTGCTGTGTTTTGGTGTGTTTCTCCCTCTTGGTAATACACTGAATATATAGGATTGATAGAATCATTTTAATCCTATAATTAATACACATGAGACCCAACCACTTGTTGGTGTCCCTTACTTTGTTCCAGAAATTGTGTTAGCCTTTTAGGAGTGGAAGACATGGGTGGAGGGAGATGATGACTTAAGATTCCAACAATCACCCCCGAATCTCTAAGTCCTTCTAGAGATTCCCTATCACCGCCAATCTTTAAGTCCTTCTAAAGATGTCTTCAATCCCGATCAAGTCCCGCATTGTCTTGAACTTGGTTCGAGCCAATGGTTTTGTGAGAATGTCTGCCTTTTGTTCTTCACCTGGAATGTACTTTACCTCCACTTGTTCCTTTTCAACACACTTACGAATGAAGTGAAACCTCGTGTGAATGTGTTTGCTTCTTCCGTGAAAAACAGGATTCTTCGTGAGTTCGATAGCTGACTTGTTATCAACTCTTAGGACCACCTTCTCTTGTGCTTTGTTCATGATTTCGCCTAGCAAATCTTGAAGCCATATTGCTTGACATGCAACCGCAGTTGCAGCCATGAACTCCGCCTCGCAAGATGATAAAGCAACAGTATCTTGCTTTTGAGAACACCATGTTATTGGAGACAACCCATAGTAGAAAATGTGACCGGTTGTGCTTCTTCCGTCATCTGGATCAACATTATGACTACTATCACTGTAACCAATTATTCGATTTTGTCCCATCCTCTCGTACTTGATTCCGTATCCCGTTGTTCCTCGTAAATACCTTAGGATGTGTTTGATTGCAACACCATGTGATTCTCTTGGATCTTGCATGTATCGACTAACAACTCCAACCGCATATGCCATATCGGGTCTTGTTTGCAAGAGATATCTAAGGCATCCTACCAACTTTCGGTATTGTGTCGGGTCGATTTCGGGTTCATCTTCGGCCTTCGACATTTTGGTTCCTGGATCCATGGGAATGTGGGTCGGATTGCAATCGTGTAAACCGGCTTCTTTTAGAATGCGTCTAGCATACGCTTCTTGGTTTATAGTAATCCCTGATTCTTCTTGTTTGACTTCAATGCCCAGGTAGTAAGTTAATCTTCCAAGATCAGACATCTCGAAGTTCTTGGACATTTCAAATTTGAACCTTTTGATCATGCTCAAATTTGTACCTGTGACAAACAAATCATCAACATAGATTGCTAAAATTAGCAAGTTGGATCCTTCGTTCTTCCGGTACACCGATGGTTCTTTCATGCACTTGTGAAATTTCATTCCTTTCAAAATCCCATCAAGTTTTGTATTCCATGCTCTCGGTGCTTGTCTAAGACCATATAGTGCTTTTGAAAGACGGTACACCTTGTGCTCGTCGCCTTTCCTTATGTAGCCTTCCGGTTGATACACATAGACGGTTTCTCTCAACTCTCCATGTAAGAAAGCCGTCTTGACATCCAAGTGGTGAAGCTCCCATCCATTGGTAGCGGCTAAGGCAATGAGAAACCGTATGGTTTCGATGCGAGCTACCGGAGCAAATACTTCTTGAAAGTCAATACCAGGTTGTTGTACGTACCCTTTAGCAACCAACCTCGCCTTGTGTTTGTTTATGGTGCCATCTGCATTTTTCTTCAGCTTGAACACCCATTTGAGTCCAATGGGCTTCACCCCCATAGGTTTGTTTACGAGAGACCAAGTATTGTTCTTGTTGATCGAATTGATTTCTGTATTCATGGCTTTGACCCACTCTAGTTCTTTCTTCGCCTCTTCAACCGATACCGGCTCGTCATTGGTTGCTAGGAGAAGTTCGTCAATTTCATCAACATAAAGTACATAATCTCGTAATCGAATTGGAAGCACCTTTTGTCTTGTGGGCCTTTGGTTTTGAACATTGTTCACGTTGTTGTTGATCGGACTTGGTTGCTCATTTTCTTGTACCTCCACTCCGTCTTCAATCTCGTGATCCGATTCGTTTGGTTCGTTGTTTACATCGTTTCCTTGGTTGTTGTTTGCCTTATCTTCCGGTAAATCCCATGGTACTATGAATGATCCTGGTTCTTCATTGTCAGGTGTAGCTTCGTTAACCCAATTCCATCCTTTGGTTTCATTAAAAATAACGTCTCGACTTACGATAATTTTTTGTGTAACCGGGTTAAATAACCGATAGGCTTTTGTACCCGGTTCAGAACCAAGATGAACCAATGGTCTTGATCTTGCATCCAATTTTTTCACGTTTACCGGTTCGACTTTTGCATACGCTAAACACCCAAATATGCGTACGTTCTCCAAATTAGGTTTTCTTTTATACAACTTCTCGTACGGAGTTGTATCACCAAGTACTCTTGTGTAAACACGGTTGATCAAGTTTGTGGAATGTTTTACCGCTTCTCCCCATAGATAGTTTGGAACATGCATCGCCTTCATGATACTTCGTGTCATGTCCATAAGTGTTCTGTTTCTTCGTTCCACAATACCGTTTTGTTGTGGTGAATATGGGGCGGTAAGATGGCGTTTGATTCCATTTATATCACAAAAGGAATTAAACTCGAGCGAAGTAAACTCACCTCCTCGATCACTTCGAAACACCTTTAAAGACTTTCCGAGCTCATTCTCCACAAAAGCTTTAAATTTTTTGAAGTGTAAAAACGCCTCATTTTTCTCTTTTAAGAGAAAAATCCACATATACCGTGAAAAATCGTCAATTAGTGTGAAAATGTATCGATTTTGACCCTTCGTTGACGGTGTTATCGGACCACATAAATCACCGTGAACTAGCTCCAATGGTCGTGTTGCTTTGTACGTCGTAATTAATGGAAATGACTTTCTTGTTTGCTTGCCCACCAAGCAAGATTCACACAATTGATTCTCACTGTCAAAATAGGGTAACCCTTTGACTAGACCTTTCTTGGACATCTTTTTCATTGACTCGAAATTGATGTGTCCAAGTCTTGCATGCCATCGCCACGTGTCTTCACTCAGTCTTGTATGAAGGCAAATAGGTACTCCAATAAGCAACTGTATTTTATAAAGGCGATTTGGAGTTCTTTGTACCTTCATTAATAAGCAGTTGTCGGCATCATGCATCGTCAAATAGTTGTCTTTCATCCGAATATCACACCCGGCTTCTGTTGCTTGTCCGAGACTGAAAATATTATTTTTCAAATCTGGAATGAAATAAATCTCCGTTATCAATCGTTGTTGCCTCGATTTTCCTTGGAAAACAATTGAGCCTTTCCCTTTTATTTTGACACACGAATTATCACCGAATTTGACCTTTCCGGTTATTCCTTCGTCGAGTTCGGAGAAAAATGAACGATTTCCCGTCATGTGATTACTTGCCCCGTTGTCCAAATACCACACATCGTTTTCTTGTGAGTTGTATCGAGACGGTATCACCTTCTCTTCGTTCAAAAATACGGACTCGTGTAGAAATACTGTTTCATCGGCATCGTCGTGTTCAGAAAAATTACTTTCTTGGAATTTTTGGGTTCGGTCCGGACATTTGGATGCGTAATGGCCCGATTTATCGCATCTGTAACAAATAATTTTTTACAGATCTTTTTTCGGGTTACGGTTCGAGTCCGAATTAGAATTGGGCTTGTTTTTGGGCTTATTAGGGTTTTGGGCCGACTGGGCCGGTTTCCTCTTGGGCCTGACCCACTGGGTCCTGCTGACCCGGATCCTCCACCCGACCCGGATCTGTTCCGATTAACCCCCCCACCTTCACCCGATTTCGCCCATTTCCCCTTCGACTCTGTCGATCCACCTGAAGAGCCACAGCCACTGCCGCTGCTCGAGCTACCACTCGATCTCGAGGCAAACAACACCTTCGCGCCTCCTTCTCCGCTGTCATCCGCCTCCCTTATTCTTTCCTCGTACGCCTTCAGACGTCCGACTACGTCCTCGAAGCCAACGGATTTCAGATCGAGCACCTGCTCGAGGGATGCCACCAGATGGATAATCGCCTGGGAACAACCTTCAGAAGCTTCTTCACAAGCTTCGACTCGTCAATTGTTTCACCAAGTGAGGCAGATTTCGAAGCCAAACCTGAGAGTTTTCCGGCGAACGAGTCAATTGACTCTGTCTCGATCATTCTCAACCGATCGAAATCGGTGTTTAATGTTTGCAGTCTCGCCTCCTTTACCCTATCAGCTCCGACGTATCGAGCTTTAATCGATTCCCACAGGGTTTTTGATTCATCGACATCTCCTATTTGCATGATTAGGGCTTCGGGGATTGCCTGATACAATATCCTCATTGCCAGGTTATTCTTTTCATCATTTTTCTCTTCTCCTGGATCGATTATGGTCCAGGCTTTATGATTTCTGAGTACGACTTTCATACGCAGGGACCATACGGTGTAATTTGTGGAATTCAACATCGGGCAAGCCACAGTGGTTGTTCCGACCTCCTTGAGTTTCACCGGAGCCGGACCAGCATCACCACCTTCTCCTTCTTTGTCCGACATCTCTTTTACTGGTGTCCTTCTTGATCACCAGGTATGAATTCAAGCCCCTGTTCTTGAGCTCTGATACCAATTCTAATATTGCAATTGTAAAGACACAGACAAATATATATATCAAAATAACTCTTTGATTGATTGGAAATATAACTCAAAAACCAATTACATATATATGTGTATATGTCTATGTATGTTGCTGTGTTTTGGTGTGTTTCTCCCTCTTGGTAATACACTGAATATATAGGATTGATAGAATCATTTTAATCCTATAATTAATACACATGAGACCCAACCACTTGTTGGTGTCCCTTACTTTGTTCCAGAAATTGTGTTAGCCTTTTAGGAGTGGAAGACATGGGTGGAGGGAGATGATGACTTAAGATTCCAACATTGTTTCCATAAACAAGCCATGCATTGTGTCCAAAAGGATTGAGAGTACTTTGTAGGGAAGTAAATGTCATAGGACCCTGGTACTGGTGTACTGAGCACCTTAATGAGCTCTTGGCTCCTCCTGTAACAAAACCCTTTAGAAAGAAACTTAGTAGAATCTAAAAGAAGATGCTTAGGGATTTTGAATTCATACTTATAAAGATCAGAGTTGGCATAGATATCTGCAAAATCAACACCAAGTTGATCTTCAACCGCTGAAGAACTAACTTCGAGCATCCATGTGGCCGGATTTTGACCTTGTTTGATTTTGTTAACCCCTGGAATAGACTGACAAGTTTGTTCGAGCTATTAGATTATTTGCATTGTATGAATGGAAGCATGAAAATTACGGATGTACTCACTTCAAAATATTCTATTAGGTGGTTAGAATGGTGCCCGAGAGGTCCGGTGTAGGAGATCTTCCCGCCTATTTTCATCAACAATAACTGCAATAAAGTGAGAAATTTTGAAGATAATTCACTCAAATGAATCTAGAAAATGGAAACATGGATTCTTATTTTAAGATAATTAACCTCGTCAAAAGCCTCAAAAATATTGATACTTTGTTGGTGGATTGTACATACGACTGTTCGACCGGTATCGACCGTGTTTCTAACAGTACGCATGACAATGGCAGCAGCTCTTGCATCAAGTCCTGATGTGGGCTCATCCATGAAGATGATTGATGGATTTGCAACCAATTCTACTGCTATTGTCAGCCTCTTTCGTTGTTCTGTTGAAAGACCATCTACTCCTGGAAGCCCAACTATTACATTCCTTAACGGGTTCAGTTCGACCAAATCCATGATTTCTTCCACAAACATCTAAAACAAATGTAGTTGTTGGTATGTTAAGAGTAATGATCAAAGTGTTTCTGCAAAAGGGTTATTTTTCCTGCAACCCCTGAACTGCCCCACACTACTAGCTAGCTGGCTGGCATAAGAGCCCAATCCACACAGGAATTTACCATCATGTGCTACGTGCTTGGGAAAAAATGGTCAAAGCTGTGAAAACTATAAAAAAATTTACCTGGCGAGTTTCTGTGGTTATGTCTGGAGCAAGACGTAACCAGGCAGAGTACACAAGCGACTCATAAACAGTGACATGGGGAGAATGGATATCGTTTTGTTCACAGTATCCAGTGACACGAGCAAATGTTTCTTGTTTTTTAGGGTAACCAGAGATGCTGATACTTCCATCAATATACCCACTAGTCTTTCTTCCAGCTAAAACATCCATCAATGTCGTCTTTCCTGCCCCACTGATTCCAACCAAAGCTGTCAGAATGCCTGGGCGGAATGTGCCACTGACATCTTCTAGTTCGATTCCTTGTGTTTTCATTTCCTGATAAATTTGCCAAATATTTATGTCATTCTTTCACAGATTATCCAAGGAAATCATGTTTCTGAATCTTGGTTAGAACCGGGACTTACAGCAGGCATGGCTATATAGTAATTGACATGATCAAATGCAACTGAGAGTGGCTGAAATGGGAGCACCAATCCCTTCGTAACGATGTTTCTTGTTGCCATTTCTGTTCCTGTTTGTGGGTGTTTCTGATTCTTCTCATCTTCTGTCAGAACAACAGTTTTTGAATCTCCGAGAGCTGGATTTTGGATCAAACTTGTGTATAAGATGCAACAAGAACCCGTGAAGATAACAAAAGATTAAGCAAATAAACATAAAGGAAAGTCTAGCTTACGGTTCAAATATGTCAGAGCTAACACAAAGAAGAGGTTAAAGAGATGCGAAAACCCAAAAAGTGCAATGACACAAACCCAAAACATATTATCGGTTGTGAACATTCCCCTGGATTTGAGAAGAACCTTTCCAACAGTTGGTTCACTGAATGGTGGATCATGATTCGGCTATCACACAAGAGAAAGCTATTTATTTCAGAAACATGCAAAAAAATGTATTTGTAAGTTGTAACAAATGAAGCTTACAGTGCTCCATCGATCATCTAAAAACTCGTTGATCACAATAGCATTTTGTCCATACATTATTGGGGAAATGTAATAGCCCCATTTCATCCATGGGCCAATGTCATCTTCAAGAAACAAAATATGTTACAAACAAGCCCAATCTAGTACAAAATCCAATAGCTAGGAATAGGATACATACCTTTTCCAACAATGAATCCACCCAATACAAAAATCAATAGCAACAAAAAGGTGGCAAGAGCACCTGCAACAATTTGGATTCTTCCAAGTACAGCAATGAAACGGTAAAGAGAAGAAGCCATTTGATGTAGGCCAATATAAGCCAAAAGTTGTCGGAAAAACCTGATAATATTCAAACATGTTAGATTCATTCAAAATTTTACCTAATTTCGTTTCACAAAAGTGTTGAGTACTTGCCTACTAGCCGAAGGAGCAAATCCAATAGTGTAATATGTTAGAACAATCCATATTACTGACTCTATGATTGATATAGGAATCTTCATGATCCATATGGGTATTGCAAATGCCCACGCAGGGTAAAACATTGAGTCCCTCTGTTTGAAGAACACGGGAAGCCTCATAATCGTCAACGCCAGCTCAGCAACCCCATTAAACATCACATTTAAAAGACTGAAGAACAAAGCACCAAAAAACTTGCCACCATCTTCAAGTCGACCACTCTTCATTTCAGTTCTAAAGAATACCGTGAAAGCAATGACGGACATGATAGTAATCTGGGTAGTCCTGAATATGTACACAAAAGCATTCCGTTTCATCAACAACAATTCTCTTGCTAAGTTTGCTTTAAGGAGCTCCATGTTTGAAATACCATACTTCTTAGTCACCAAAGCAGCCGGATGCATTTGGGTTTTGTCATAAGGAAGGCAAGATCGTGATAAAGGCGTTCACCAGTTTCGTACCGGCTGAAAAGCTGACAGAATTCAGATACTGAGATGTAACGATAAGGTTCGTTTCTTTTGAACCAGTATTGTTCTTGGTCTTTCTTTGAAGTAACTTCTTGCAAAAAGTCTGCAACTCCTTTCCTTTCTGGGCATTTGAACCCTACACTCTCAAAGAAAGCAAGAATGTCTTCACATGGGCCTTGGTAGACGATTTGACCTTCAGAGAGGAGTATGATGTCGTCAAATAGCTCAAATGTTTCTGGTGCGGGTTGAAGAAGGGAAATGATCATGGTTACATCCATTATGTGAACCAGTTGTTTCATGTATTTGACGATTTGAAAAGTTGTTAAACTGTCTAAACCAGTTGAAATTTCATCCATGAAGAACACTTTTGCAGGTCCAACCAACATCTCTCCTGAAGTTAGAGAAAAAAACAATATTTTTCGATGCATGATGAGAATGATAATAAATTTTGGAAATTGTTTTGTATTAATTATACCGGTAGTAGCACGTTTCTTCTCTCCACCTGAGATTCCTCTTCTAATCTCATCACCTACCATGATATTAGCACAAATATCTAATCCAAGAATCTGTATACATTCAGTTCAAATCAACTAATGTTGCTAATAAACTAACTAAAAATTTTAAACAAAAACGTAAAGATTGAGACAAACCTTTAAAACATAATCTGTAGCCAAGCTAGAATCTTGACCAGATACTGCAGTCGCTTTCATGAAAGCGTCGATTTCCGGGTCCGGTTTAATCCCTTCATTTTTCTCATGTCGTGAAAGTTCTTCCAGGAGGTCGTACCTGGTTCCTACACCAAGACACCGACCAGCAAAATCAAATGTCTCCCTAACTGTCATCTCACCATGATGAACGTCATGTTGGCTAATATAAGCACAAGTCCTCTGAGGAATAAACTCAGACATCCGATGACCACAGTAAGTAACTTCTCCGGCACCGACTCTGAGATCTGAATCCAATACTCCGGCAAGTGCCCTCAGCAATGTCGTCTTCCCAGAACCAGGAGGCCCAAGAAGTAACGTCATCCTGAAAATGAAAATTCGGTAAAATAAAATAAATAAATAATTGTTTCCCGATGTTTAAAAATGGCACCAAACAAACATACCGCGATGGCCTTACAATCCCACTCACATCACGCAAGATTTTGACCACCCTTTTCTTGGATGGAATAAACTTAAAGAATCGAAGAAGTCCCTATCCGTAACAAATAAAAACTTAGAAAGTGTCTATTTTTATCAAGTACTAAAAATCAGCAAACAAACCTCCATGGTGTTGAGGGTAGCGTACTTGGATCTTTGGAATATCAATCCCGACCCTGTTTAGAACATATAATATTACTATTGAATAAATTCAAATTTTAATACAACTTACTTATTATAAGGATTAGTAGGATTTTAATTAATTTCACCTATGGGTTCTAGCTCGAACTCTATTTAGAAACTTTTCGTTATCTTCTTCTACAACTTTGAGTATACTTCCCATGAGCTGTTTCTTATCTTGAGATCCAAGATTTGTAATATCGATTTCTTGATGAACGACTCGTCCATTATCAAGAACTTGTTTCAAGATTCCTTTCTTTAATCTATCGTATGTAGGTAGTCTCTCAATAGCAGCCCATTTGAGTTCTTCTTCATCGTCGTGCCACCCACTTGCGGCAAAAGCATGATCACCACCTCCTGGTGCCGCCGAGAAAGCCTCCCTGGTACTAGCGGAAGCCCAGCTCCTCCTACCGGAAGATGAAAAATTCATTGACCTCGCCAGATCAGCTGTTGCCGCCATCTTCACCACTCAAACTAGGGGTGTTCATGGTCCGGTTTGAAACCGTGAAACCGGTCATCGGTTTGGTTTTACGGTTTGTATTTTTCTTTACGGTTTGGCTTGCGGTTTTGAATTTTTCAAACCGTATTGAACGGTTTGGCTTACGGTTTTTAAGATTTCAATCCGTATAAAAACCGGACCGGACCGTAGGATTTGTATATATATTAATTATTATTTTTATATATAATTAATTTTTATATATTAATTTTTATATAAAAATAATAAATTTAAAAACCCACATTATATTGAATTATTACAGCCCAATAATATTGAACTGGGCTAGTAGTCCACCTCCAGGCTCCAGCTCCAAGCAATCGTTCAACGGTGATTCACTCATTCAACTTGCCCTAATCGACTAATCGAGTAATCGCAAATCGCAAAGAGCCAAATACGCAGACTCGGTTTCCACTTTCCAGTTGCCACACCAGTGCACCACTCGTTTTCCCTCCGAGGCTCCGACTTGCAAGCCAACAGCTCGTCGCCTACCCTGCAGCAGCTCCGATTCTACCTCTCGTTTCTCTATCGTTGGCTACTTGGCTGGATTGTTACTCCGATAAGGTATGTTGTGTTCTTAATCAACTGAACTGATTTGTTTATCATCCATCTACACCTGATTTCTATCCATCCATCACCTCTCCTATCATTGTGCGTTTGATTTTTTTTTAACAGAAGCCAACATCGGACGAAACAAAAGTAGAAAGTAGTTGTTGATTTTTTATTTCTTTCTAAATCTGTTGCTAACTGCTTGGCTCCGACTACAGGCCTCCCCTGCAGCTCCGATTGTTGCTCCGATAAGGTCCGTTTGGCGATTCTATCTCCGATAGTGCGTTTGATTTTTTTTAACAGTAGCAAACATCGGATGAAACCTGTTGATTTTTTATTTCTTTCTAAAACCTGTTGCTAACTGCTAAGACTCATCATCTCTTAATCTTTTCTTTCAGGTCCTTACATGTGCGTTTGATTTTTTTAACAGAAGCAAACATAGGACGAAACCTGTTGATTTTTTATTTCTTTCTAAACCTGTTGCTAACTTCTAAGACTCATCATCTCTTAATCTGATTCCAGTGAGTCCACAATTCTGAATTCTGCTTGCACTTTTTTCTTTCAGGTCCTTACATGGATAAAGATAACATCAATATTCCAAGTAGTGAACCTGTGAACATCATTGATGCTGATGATGATATGGAAGAGATTGATGTAGATGATGATGTTCATGTGGAGCAAAATGGAGGTGCTACTGATAAGAACCAAGGAAGGGGACGAAAACAGTCTATTGTTTGAAAACAGTTTATTGTTTGGAAACACTTCAACTGGAGGTGTTACTGATAAAAACAGTCATTTGACTTGTTGGATTGGTGGAAGACAAATGGAGCAAAATATAAGATTTTAGGAAAAATTGCACGGGATGTCTTGGCTGTTCCAGTTTCCACAGTTGCGTCGGAATCCGCATTTAGCACCGGGGGTAGAGTTTTGGATTCATTTAGGAGTAGTCTTTCTCCTAAAACAGTGCAAGCGCTTATATGCACACAAAATTAGATTCGGGGTGTGTTTAACAAAAATGCAAAAGTTGGTTATGAAGATGTGTTGAAAGAAATTGAAGACCTTTGATGGGAATGTCAAGTCCACCAAGCAAATTACATCCTTTGATTTCTAAATAAACGTAATATAATGGTAAAAAGGGGTATCGATCCTCGGGGAAATGGTTGTATTCAATCACCAATGCAATTCAATAGAACTAGTGAAATTAAACTAACTAACTACAATTAAACTAAAAGGGGGGGGGGGGGGGGGTGTTTGATTACTTGAAAACTAAAATACTTGAATAACTAAAAACCTTGCAATTAAGCAAGTTGATGAGATGCTCAAAGGTTGGGAATAATTGGTTAACTAAGGCAATTCAACACAATGAACATTTGTGTGTTTATCATTAGGATCTAATACAAAGTTTATTCTTCATCCCAAATTGGTTATAGCAATCATGAAGCATGATATGCCAAGATTCCTCATAGGTAGTATGGAGGTTGGGGAAGCCCACAACACACCTTCTTAATTAAGATCAATAGTCAATTGAAGCAATTAATCCCAAGAAATCAATTAGCCTTAAGAATAAAGGAATCCCCAATTCCTAGAGGATGTCAAATGCTTACACATCCATAAAGGAGCTATGATTCATAAGCTAGAGATGATTTCTACCATCATAAAGCCTTTGTTCTAGATAAATTCAATGATCCAATGCAAAATCAATGAAACAAATCAACCATTGCTCAATCAAATACTAAGCTCATGATCAAAGCATCAAATAAGCATAAGAATTGTAAACTAGAATCATAAACATGGAATAAATTGATAATCAACATAAATCCTTCAAAACCCACAAACATTCATTGGTTTTCAGCCAAAGTCAACCAAATAAGAGTATTAGTCACTCATGGCAACAAAGTAACAAGAACAATAATTAATTTGCATCAAGAATCTACCTAAGACTTGAAAAGATGAAAGAAATTGAGTATTTTGCTCTCCAAATCGTCACTTGCAGGTCTCCAATGGTGGAAAATTCGTGAATGAGCCTCTAGATTTGATCCCCCAAAGTTATTGTGAGCCAAATGACCAAAATACCCAAACTGGGCAGTTGCGCGGGTACCCGCGCAGCCAAAATTCCACCCGCGCAAATGCTGCTGGAATGCTATTGGTCCACCATTCCACTACTCCACCCTTCCACTACCAAAGATTCCTTTGGTCCCCCCCTTGTCCATGTAATTTGAATCCACCAATCATCATTTAGCCACTAAATGGATGCTCCAAGCCCAAAATTAGAAATTTATGATCCATCTTCACAAGCCCAAATAATCCAAGCCAATAACTTTCAAAGCCCAATTCTTCTTCTTTGATTCCGCCAAGCCCAATAATGCTTCGGGAGCCCACTAAGCCGTCTTCACTCAAATCCACAATCACAAAAACTCCAAAACTCTGCAAAATTCCTCATGCAACATAACAAGCCCCCGATACGATCCATGATAAAGAAAATAAAGAATATACAATGCAATACTAATAAAAAGAGCTAAAAATCTAAGATAAACTAATAAAAATAAGGAAATAAAATAAACTATCAACCTTGATGAAATTGAAAATGGTAAATTTTAAAATTTCAAAAGTTATATATTTTCTCCTACTTATTATTTCTAAATTCTAACAAAATATAACTTGTATTTTAGATTTTGCAAGCAAACTTAATATTTGCACCGACAATATCGAATGAAAGGTACATTTCTTCTTTTGGTTTTATATTGAATTTTTGGTGTGATGTTTTAATATTGATTTTTTTGGACAGCAAAAGCTTATGAATTGGATAGAATTTTGGAAGTGGATAGCATTTTGGAAGTGATCTTGCTGATAATGCTTTTTAGATAATAGTTTTTGCTGTTTTGGACAGCTTAGTAGGATGTGTGTATTAGTCTAATATTTGATGTAATTGAACAATATTTGATATTTTCATTTACTGCTTTTTATTTGCTGTTTTGGACAACTTTTTTGGTAGTTTTCTTGTTGTTTTTGACAATTTTACTATTGCAGTATTTTCAACAAACAGTACAGTTTTTTTTTTACTAAATTAGGCAGAATTTTGAATGTTTTAATACCTTAAACGGTGCAGTTTTTTTATTTAACTGTTTTAATACCTTTAATAGTGCAGTTTTTTATTGTTTTAATACCTCTAATATTGTAGCTTTAATATTACGTAGAATTTTTACTGTTTTAATACATGTAATAGTGCAGTTTTTTTTTACTAAATTAGTTTAATGGACTCGACTAAAATGGGCCTAAAAAGCCCAAACCGTGAAACCAAACCGGAGCCAAACCGCTAGTAACGGTTTGGTTTGGTTCGGTTTTAAATTTTCAATGGTTCGGCTTTGGTTTTTGCTTGACAAAAACCGTTAGTAACGGTTTGGCTCCGGTTTAACCTAAAAACCGAAAAAACCGGACCGTGAACACCCCTAACTCAAACTGCAGAAATTGAGCTTTATTAATTATGAGCTAGAATCAGTGATTTTCATGGTTCTGGATATATCTATAAACTATAATGGTGTGGAAGAAAGATCTGATTTGCTTTGAACTTATTTGGTCATTAATATATATCTTCTTTTTTTTTGTGTATTATATGTCATTGACCCTGTTTCACCGGTTACATCTACTACACACTCTCTCTCTCTCTTCTTTTCTTTTCTTTTCTTTTTTTTTATAAACTAAAATTTAAAAATCAATGCACGTGCGTTTGTTTTTTGTTTTTTTATTAAGAATTGATAGCTGCATTCTTAAAATATAATTCAACCCAATTGAACACATGTAGTTCGCTTCATATTCAAATCATTCAACTGCAAATGGATCCTTAAAAGTCCCTAATTTTCTCCTTTAATTAATTACACAATCCCCAAAAAGAACTGCCTTGTTTTCTTCATCACTTGATTCATGGTCACCGTCTTCTTGATACTCGATTGATATAAAAATTGCGGCTCAGTACATATATAACTTCTTACAAAACAAGTCGGGTCATGTTCGAGATGCGTGTTCCACCGATGAATACGAAGGTTTTTTGGGGATTCTTCGAGGTCCGTTCACTTTCCATCGGTTTTCAAAAAGGGTCGTGTTGAACTGATGAAAAAGGTCGAAAATCTGATGTGGTTTTGATGAATATGAAGATCAAGATAAAGATACATATTTTGTTCAACATCGCAAAGTTCATCCTTGTCTTTGTCAAAGATTTGGGTATTTGTTGTTCTTGTTGACTTCCCAGAAGGTGATTTTTAAATTATAATTAAATAACTCATAATAAAACTGTGTTTTGGAGATGGGTGGTGGTGGTGGAAAGAGGTTAACGGCGGAATACGAGGTGGCCGGTGGTGGTGGGAGGTTGAAAATGGCAGCGGTGGGGGACGTTAATACCCCGTTCCCGAGTTCAACTTAACGAGAGAAATGAAAGGAAATGAGTGAAAATGAGAAGAAAAATAAAAGAAATTGGTGTTCCCGAGTTTCATTAAAAGAGGAAAGTGGAAGGAAGTGGAGGGAAATAGGAGGATCAATTTCCCTCCTAACTTTCCTTCCGATTTGGAAGGATTTGGAAAGAAATAACAAAATGATTCATTTTCCTTCCACTTCTTTCCAACTCGGGAACACAAAAGAAAATTTTATTTTCCTTTCCTTTCTATTCTTTTCTCTCATGACTTTCTTTCCTCTTCTCTTCTTTTCTTTTGTTAAACTCGGGAACGAGGCGTAAGGGTGATACGTGATAACTGATGAAGTGATGATGATGGTCTTCATATATCAAAATCTTCAAACATTATTTTGTAATAATAATAATAATAATAATAATAATAATAATAATAAATTTTAGAATCCATAAATAATTTCACAAATAAAACCATCTAATTTTGACAAAATAATAATAATAATAATAATATTTAGCATCAATAAATAATTTCACAAATAATCCATATAACTTTGACAAGAAAAATCCATATGAGAGACACGCAAGTGACATGCTGACCATTTCAGTTTATCTAAATGCTTTGTAAGATGTCACATAGATAAGGTAGTCAGATTATCTTTTACGTCTATAAAAATGGTTTATTTGATCTCGATTTTAAAGTTGAATGATTTTGAATGCATATAATATTAGTGACTAAATGAATAAAAACTGAATAATTGTTTGGCTTATAATAACATTAACCCATAAATTAAATAAGTTTACTATTATGATTATTACAATAACTAAAATAATGTTGTAAAAAAAGGCATTGCATTTACAATTTTACAATGTGATACTTACTTCTAAATTCCTACCACCCCATTAAAAACAGTCCACCAATCATTTATATTCTTATATTCATCGTTGTCGACATCACCAACGACTTTGTCTGCCAACCTTTGCGGGGTGCATACCCAAAGTACATAACCCTAATAGTAACCGTTTCCAATTCCCACCTATCTCAAAACCAAATGTCGTATCATCCACCATCGACTTTACTATCGTCAACCACAAGTAAACCATGATGATAGTCCTTGTGCTTCCTTCGATCCCTAACCCGACACAGACGAGAAACCTATAAAAAAGAATCCACTACATGTACAATGACGGTTTCACATATGTACCTATAAACATACAAAAACGATAAAATATTAAGGAACACAAATGTTTTATAATTTCTTATATTTATTACTTTTGAAAATTTGACAATTACTTTTAAATTATATAACTTTTTTATAATTTTTTTGTTTATTAAATCAATTTATTAATTAATAAAAAAAATCTAGCATCTAAATATAAATATGATATAAAGTAAAATGTTATTAAATATGGGGATCAAAATATGACATAACTTAAAAGAAAATTAAAAAAAATAGTAATAATAAATATTTAGAATGGCCTCTTAAAAAGTCTTGTTCTCCGATTTAAGGAAAAAAATATTTTAGAAGTTTATTGGAATAATAAAAAAAGACAAAATTTCACAATTGGTCTCTGTGGTTTACAGAATATCGCACTTTGACGACTTCCTAGCAAAAAGTCATGTGACTGGTCCCTATGGTTTGTAAAATTACATGAAAAGTCCTCCTGCCGTTAAATCTAACTTT